TAGCGCTATGACTGCTTGCTACTCGTGCTGCCACAGGAGTTTCAATCTGAATCATCTTGTTTAAAATTTGTAAGAACTCTGAAACTCTAATAAGTTTCGAGCTGTGACGAGATTGAATAGCAAATAGTCATTTCTATTTCTATGGTCCCGATCAACAAAGACCGGAAAGAATTTGTATGGTTAGAGCTCCTTCGTGAACGTTTCATCAGGGGAAGGCGTTAAAATTTCTGTATAAAGCTCACCCAAACAGCTCAGCTTGGCCAAACATTTGGGTTCTCCAGTTCCGAAGTTGCGTGCAAATTCTCCGCGGCCTTCTGGCAGTGTTGTTCTACAGAATGCATCAAACATTAGCCGAGCATACCTGTGCAATTCAAAACTTTTGAAATGAACGGCAAGCCTTTTGAAACAAGTGATGATACTACGCCGTAAATGGATGATCAAATACTTGGACCTAATTTCTGTTTGAAGCAGTCATGGCAGGCCATGGCATTGAAAGATTTTTCACCGAGCAGTATAATTCTGTTTACGGGGATCTATCTCTACAACCGTCCTTATTCTTCAACTGATGCTCCTTCCTCAACACCCTAAACACCCTACTACAGCTAGTCAAAAAAGCAGAAATTTCTTCAGTATCACCTGTATCACCTGTCGTCCCGTTGATCATCGAATTGCTCGAGCGGGCGCCAGCAACGTCTCCATTCGTCCCTGTCGCGTGCAAGAGTGTCCAGTGGACCCTCCTCGCTCGAGGGACACGAAGTCCTTCATTCCTTTCGTTCAGAGCTTTCGTGAAGAAGTCTGACCATCGGGCCGGCGGTCGTCCAGGTGTTCGTTTGACGTCCCGAGGGATCCAGTCGGTAACCGCTCTGGTCCAACGGTCATCGCAAAATCGCATGACGTGTCCGGCCCACCTTATCTTCCTTGGCAAAAACGGCAGCGTCTCCCTTGATCTTCGACCGTTGGCGTAGTTCGGCACTCCGGATTCCCCTCTGCACTTGCGTGTATAGGGTTACTCCTAGCATCGTCCTCTCGACAGCGCGTTGGATAACGCTGACCGCATGCTCGTCCTGCCTGCGCAGAGTCCAAGTCTCTGAGGCGTAGGTTAGGGCAGGAAGGACAGCGGAATCGAAGAGGTGGGCACGGAGCCGGATGTTCTTCGTCTTCTTCACTACTCCCTCGATGTTCTTATACGCTCCCCAAGCCGCTCGTTTCCTCCTGCTCAGCTCTGGAGCTAGATCGTTCATCATATTGATTTCCCGACACTGCTAATTAATTAATTGGTTAATCAACCATACATTAAGTGTACAATGTATGGTTGATTAATTGCGATGATCTATAGAGAAAAGTTTGGCAAGTTCTATGTCAATGCGCTATATTTATATGGCAATATTGCTCTCTCCTGGGACCGCATGGCCTGCCTGCGGGACACAAGCGGTCTGGCGTACGATCCCATGAGCTAGACGCGGGGAGAGCGCGCGAGTCTACCTTCCTTCCATAATCAATGTGACACTGTGCCTCCCTCGCGGGATAAACATAAATATACAGGGGGGGCCAAAAAAAAAAGACATTTTGCCTATGTCGGACTTCGGCTCTTTTTTCTTCGCAGAGATTGCTGTCGTTGACGGGAGTTCCTCAGCAGAGTATTCCCTAAGTGTTCCTCTATTAGTGTACGCAGGCTCTCCTTCACTGCCCTCACCGTCTTCAGAATATGACGTCATCTGTCACCGTCGTCAGGCTCAAGGAGGTCTACCGTAAGAGCTTCAGCCTGAAGCTCTTACGCAATTTCGTGAATCGATTTAATGTTGGATAGTTTTCTAGAGGCATTAGCTACCACTGTGCAAATCCCCTCGGAACTAGCTTTCCAGTAAGGGTCGTTATGGTACACGATCCTTCGAAGACCCCATTGAGATCGACCAGTGCACCATGTTTCCAGGGCTAATTCTTCTGATGCCGTCCACGTACGTGGCCACTATGAAGATTTTCTTATAGAATGGAATGCACTCTTTAATAATAAGTTGGAACCGTTCGGTCTGAGTTGAGTAAAATGTGCTTAAATCCATCTGGAAGTGGAGGCAAAATGTCTTTTTTTTTGGCCCCCCCTGTATATATGGATAGGTTGGTTTTCGCACCTGTCCTGGCCACCGCTTCCTGTGCAACGGAAAGGTTGGATGTCCGCCATAAACGTGGTGGCTCATTTTCTGCTCCTCCCTCCCCCCCCCCCCCCTCCTGCATTCGCTCGAATCTGAGTACTGACATAGTATTAGGGGCATTTACTAACGGCGCCGCTGACGAAAGTAATGAAAGTGCGAATTACATTTTGATTGTTATGCAACTAATCCTTTTTTGAATAGTAGTGCGCGTTTCAGCACCTAGCCAGCCACACTAATTACATTGCGTTTCATCAGTTTTGTCCAGAAAATGTTTTCAAACATTATGAACAAAACAAGCTGATCGTACATTTCAAATTCATATGATATGAGATATGCTATTAGCCTACAAAATGAAACGAGCGGAAAACATATCTCCCGAATCGCAAAGCTCTGAACGTCGTTGAGCCTCCTCCCTACAGTGTGGGGCAGAATTACCAGGGCATCTACATGCAGTAGCGGTCAAAAGTTTGGAAACTTTTTTATCTTTGATATAACGCTGATCTATTTTTCCGAGAAAGCTGTAAATGAGAAATACAATTTTTTTGAAGAAGTCGTGCGTCAAAAGTTGGTAAACTTTTTGTTTCCCTCATTATTACAAGTCCTACTCGTCGGAAACTGCATGTATCTGTTAATGTTGGTTTATTCGTTAGATATTATGTGACTCTGAAACGAATTCATGTAATAAGGAAAGATCATGTCTAGGAGAGGTTTTATGAACCCTTTGACCCAGAATACGAATGTGAAATTGTTTCTCAGTCATCAACCTCTGCAGAGGCAATATCATTAAAAGTTTGCAGTGTTATCGAAGTTGAAATGCACGAAGAAAATGACCCTCCTCGTCCTCGCTGGGAAAAAACGTCCTCGCAGGGAAATTGGCTCTTTTTGTAAGGACTTCTGTTTGTGGTTGGAACATCCCGTCCCCTCGAAATTCCCAACCGAGGAACGACGTTTTCCTGTTCACTTTTGATCTAATGAAAGTCTAAGGGCAGCTCAACATTGGCCGGAACCTGGCGAAAATTAGGAATGATGTATCCAACAAAAAATCCCTCGTTGGGAAGCCGGATGGCCCAACTGGCTTCCGCACATTAACGGCTAACCTGGACATAAGAGCTAAACGATTGCGCCTCAGCGACGAGTGGAATTTCTGCCTTCCTAGAAATGATGTAGTGGACCCTGTGAAGTGTTCTTGTCAAATGGAAACCTCATTTTGAGTATGGATTCCAACAGTCAGAAATAGTGGAAGTATTGTCATGGATGAAGATGTGTCCGACCATTCGGCGATTCCCCAGTTCTAGTATCCAGCGAAATGTGGGTTGGGCTAAGTACAAGGATAGTCTGTAGAATACAATGCTTCCTTCAATAGTCAAAACAAAAAAACCAAAAAATTGGGTTTCCTATCACGGAAATTAGCCGAGAGCCTACCTCCTCATTGCCGCCTTACTGAATCCAGGGGAAAAACCGTTATGGAGCGGCCAAGTCAAGATCTGAACTATAACTGAGCTTAACAGCTTAAAGGACGAATTCACGCTGAAAAAGCAACCCATTTCAAATTAACCTAGGATGGTGAGTGGTACACGAAAGAAGGAAGAACCATGAGAAACGGCCCAGAACCCGAGAAATGGGACCCCTTCCTTGCCCGTTGATTTGAGCATTGATGCGACTCTCATCGCTGTGCCCTCTTCAACACTACGCTCTCTCAGCTATCTAATCACTCGCCACGTATAGAACTGCGGCGAGTGATCAGATGATCGGTGGGCGGAGATCGCCGGACCCGCCAACTTTGAGGCATGATAGGTCGCCGAGGTCAAATTTTTCGATGCGAATTGCGCGGGTGTGCACCTTTAGTCTAAAGTGCAATTATGGGATACCACCTCGCACCTACACTCACCTGCCTGTGGGAAGACCTTGTTAATTGCACTGGCTTGTCTGCTGACCTCTCCCTCTCAGACTCAGTATTGATCATTCCAATTGAACTTTATTAATATACGTTAAGATTACATTAAGCTGCTACATAAACAAAGTCATCAAATAAAATACAGAACAACACAGAAGCACCGTACTAAACATCAAAAACTATATAGCCTTCTCAGTGACATATCTGGACATCTTCTTACAATATTGCACTATTTGATCCTCACTTGGTCCGTTTCGGTAACACTCTTCAAACCTGAAATAAGAAAAACTAATTATGTATGTCTCTTATGATCGAGAACACTTACATCCTCATTTCCTCTGCAATATTTGCCCTTCTTTCCTGGTCTCTTTTCTGCAGCACCCTCGCATTGTTTGGCTCCTGTAATGAAGAATTAATATGAAAAGTGATCAATGTGATTATGGTGGTGAAACTCGAAGGGCTCTAACTTCTGATAGTAACGGGCGCGGGAGAAACACTACACCTGAAAGAGCGAAGTGCTATGAGATGCTCTAAAATTATTGAAATTCATAATTTTGGTACCTTTCACTACTTCCCACCATTCCGCTACTCGCTCATCTCTTTCCAATCCGTGTATGTGTCGCCTCAAACCCAAGGCATCTCTCTTACGATTCCAGGCCTGTGCAATGTGAAATGAACAGCCCTCCACGGAGGCTCCTAGGGAAAATCTTTTGCGCAGCTTTGATCGCTGCTTTTTCAAAGTCGAGGATCACTCGCAGAGGTGCATCACCACTAATATTCGTCTTCAACATTTCGAAAATTTTCAGATAGGTTCGCTCCGTTTTCTTGGCGGTGATGCAGTAGACCAGGGGTATCTCGACACCATTGGAGCATACGCCATGCACGCAGTACAGCTGTGCATGGTAACCAAGGGATTTGGGATGTAGTGAATGCATCCCGTCTGCCACAATGCTTCGCACGCCTTCTAAAATGGATATGAATTCACAAAAAACAGAATGATGATCTATTTGTCTAACCTGAATTGTTGCAACGGAGAAATAGATGTGAAGTCCAGGCGCATGATGATGGAGGAAAATGGAGCCGTCGCGTAGAGTACGAAATTCCCAAGGGACTTCATCCATTGTTACTGACCTGTTTGTCCACACACCAATGCTTCTGAACTGGGCCGAGTAATGAAAGTTTGAAAACTGACTCATCAAATATTGCTTACCTTGATATGACTCGTCTGCGAGCCTGATATCCTGAGCGCCGAATTGAAGCCCTTATGGAATCTTCCATTTCTTCTGCAATAGGGAAGAAGAAATATTTAGATTATTCAGCAAATTCCCGAAGATTCTACCATTGTCAGCATCAAACGGTTCTGCCAACATATCGAGATAGACTTTAACCGGTTTCTTCCCAGCACACGTAGGATCGCGCCTAATGTTCTGCATCTCCTGAAATTTGCGACTACAGCACTACGATTTGAGTTGGATACCATTTCTTTACCTTGTATACATGTCGGTTGCCTCTTTCTTCAGTATATTTGCCAGGAGTACATTCATGATCAATTCTACAAGGGTCGGACAAGAACTCGTTTCCTACTACCTAAACAGGACGTGATGGGAAAGGTGCGCGTGCTTTCTTCCGTTCTCTCACGTACTTTGATGAATCCTCCTCCTCCCACTCGCTCTCCCCGTCTTCTTCGTTCCTTGAGACAATGCACGCATCCGTAAGTTTCGCTGTCTTTGCTTCTATAAGCTCGGTAGAACGTGAATGAGCGCGTGGTTCCTGGAATTCGGTAAATCAATACATCATATTTTCCTCTTTTGCTTACCTGTTTTTCACCGACGTATCTTTGCACCAATGTGTCCTCTGGATTAGTGAGAGTAGCCGTCGATACTGTTGTCCCTGAAAGCGAGGAATCTTGTGACGTAAAACTTACATCCATGTGTTACGGATCTGTTTGTTCCGACACCCAGCTGCATGGTGTTGGACAACGGAGGCGGGAGTGGTAATGAAAGTGTTGAAAACTGATGGATCAAATATGCTTACTTGATATTAACTTTCGGGCGTTGCGTAGCTGATGATCCTGATACGCCGAATTGAAGCCCTCATGAATCTTCATTTTCGCGAATAGGTGGAGAAAGAGATATTGGCAGAAGAGTTATGGCAAATCCCCGATGATGTCGTACCATTGTCAGCAATCAAACGGTTCTGCGCAAGTTATTCGAGGGTAGACTTTACGGTTTGCTTCCACACAGCGTAGGATCGGCGGCCTCATGTCGCATTCCTGAAAATTGGGCGCTACAAGTACTACGGATTTGAGCCGGATATCATTTCGTACTTGGGGTACGACAGTGGTCGGTTTGTCCTCTTTTTCAGAGTTATACTTTTCGCCCGGCAGTACATTCGGTGGGGTCAATTCACAGGTGGTCGCGACAAGACTCGTTTTCATATACGGCGGGGTTAACAGGAACAGTGATGGGAAAGGGGGGCAGTGCTTTTCTTCGTTTCTCACATCTTTTGAATTGAATCTCCTGCTCCCACTCGCTCTCCCGGTCTTTCTTTCGTTTCTTGAAGGCACATGGACGACATCAGGTAAGTTCATCTGGCTTGTGTAGAGGCTCGGTAGAATGGTGATATGATCAAGCGCGGTGGGTCCCATGGAATTCCGGTAAATTAATAATGATATTTCCTTTTGGTACTGGGTTGTTTTTCACGGGACGTTCTTTCTGCACAATTTGCTCTGGATTAGTGAAAGAGTATCGGTGGCGAGTACTGTTGTCCTGTAGCGAGGAATCTGTGAAGTAGAAATTGAGATGGGGTCGCATGTGCAAGAGAATTGGGTTGAAGGTGGTAGGGATGCCGATTACATGGAGGAATAGGGAGTTGGACTTGCTATGCTGAAAGAGGCAGGTGATAGGAGGTGCGAGGGAACTGAGGGTGGAATCGTGGGAGTTGCAGTTAGTGGAAGGACTGCAGACGCTTGCGATTGAGTCAAAAACAGGTACTGTGGAAACAGGTGTCTGTGGTAAAGCTTGAAGCCATGTATAGCGGTGAGGTAGCTGAGTACAAAGGGTCGTAGGGGTAAGTAACATTGGTGAAGGGTTCACAACCCAGAGAAATTGTGGACAGAGGGGGCTGAAATGGTGTGGGAGAGATGCTGTATGAAGGTGCAGGGGCTGGTGTAGAGGTGGCTTGAAAGGGTATTGTCAAATCTATATTGAGGGAAGACGACTGTGGTTGCGCAGTGCTGAGGAACAGAGCATTAGACGGAGCCGATCCAAATGAAAATGTGTCGTTGTCCTGGCAAAGGTCACTGTAGTAGAAACCTGAAATCATGTTCATGCAAGAAGGTTGATGGTACATGCACAAGCAGGGATGACTGTAATGTTCTCATCCTTCTGTTTAAATACTTGCTGAAATGACCTAGCAATTGTGTGTGAGGTCAGAAGGCACGAGACAAGGTGCCAAATAATGTGTGAAAGATTTCCTCTCTAAATTAGTTTGCCTACAGGCGTGTTGCGGGATCTGTGTTCTGTTGGCGTAGTAAACAATGTGTTGCAGTCTCTTAGACGAGGTCAGCAGTCAGCACAGTCAATTAAGTGAGGTCACTCCGCAGGCGATTGCTAGGAGGCATAAGGTGGCAGGTGCGAGGTAGTGATTAAGAGGTCATTTTTGACTAAAGTCCCTCTCCCGAATTGCGCATCAGTTCGCACCCTCAGGAGGTCCGTGGGTCCCTCAACTAGGTAAATTACTTCTTCCTCGACCTCCATTCTAATCGTGAATTCCTCCTTTAAGGAAGAGCTGACATGTCTTACAATCCACATTCCAGTAAAGAGTCCATCAAACAATTTGGTTGGTTCGCATAGTGTAGGCATCGACTTAAGAAATCCAAAATGATGTCCAATATCAATAAAAACGACTCTAACACTGAATTTCAATGTTGCTCAACAAAAAACTAATTTCTCATGTGGATTTGAGAGCTATTTTGCCGAATTCGCTTTGGAATTAAAGAAGTTTCCAAACTTTTGACGCGCCATTTTCTATAAAAATCGTATTTTTTCAAATGCGATCTTCGATTTGGCGAAATTATGTTGCGTATATATGTGATATGTGAATTCTGGACAACTTTGTTATCTGCTGAGTGCGCTAGTTCAGAAACAAAATATTTCCAAACTTTTGACCGCTGCTGTAGTTTGTTTTTTGCAATACTTGGGATGGTAAGAAAGTCCTGAGCCGATTCTTTGGTGTATTTCAAAGCATTCTTCGCGGTACAGAAACGGGTTTGACAATTCAGGTGATTGTTTGCCCAGTTCGACGAACGCACATCACAGCCCAGAAGACTAAACTGTTTTATATTCCAGCAGGTGCAAGTAACACTATTTATGTTCAAGCCACATATCGGCAGCCATTGAAATGGGAAGTACTCCCATAAGATCACAAAAAGCAAAACATGTAGGTGCACTATTAATTTTGCCCCACACTGCAGGGAGGATTCCTACGTTCAAACAGACTTACGATTCGAAACAAATGTTTTCTGCTCGTTCCATTTCGATGGCCGTTTCATCTAATAGCCTATCGCAGGGGTTGATTACGAATGAAAAAGTGCGATAACAGCTTGTTATGTTCAAAATGTTCGACAACACTTTCTGGACATAATTGATGAAACGCAATAATGTGAGCGTGGCTGGCTAGGTGCTGGAACTCACTGCTCCTATACAAAACGGGATGAATAGCAATTTGTCGGAGTTCGTCCCTGCTGTCTAGGCTTAGTTCCAGAGACCTTTCTACAGAGTGTCTCCCCCCGAGCCAAACTGCGCCCAGGTCGGTAACTGTGCTAGCAGCTGTAGCTATCTGGTACACTATTAAACCTGAACCTTCAAGTGATTCCCATGTCACTGAATTCCTTTCTCTGTCGCTCCGAACAACGTGTTGCTGTGTTACGAATATTGCTTAATACCTTCCTTCCAAAACCAATGTGACGCCCCTGTTGGGAATACTGTATATAGATAGTGTTGTTCTTCGTACCTTCCTGGCTATCCTTCCTTGTGCAACTGCAGAGTGGCCCATAAATATTGCACGGTGAAACTCCAGTTCGGGGGGGCCACTCCATTGCTATCTTATCCGTAGTACTAGAGAGCAGTTCTTTGGGCTATCGAACACTACGGATAAGATAATAAGTGAACGACTCATTTCGAGCGTACTTTTGATAAGGACCGGTGGATGTCCTACATTCCACACTACCTGCCCACATCCCATCCACTTTTCTGCACAGGTGATCCACCCTGGAGCTCCTGCACCCTTAGCCCTTTGCGGAGGTGTCCTTTCTCCTGGTCCAGGACCGTTCCCTTGGGTCATGGCAGGCGGAAATGTGAAAACGTTTCAGGGTTTCTCACCCATTACACCAATATTTATCAGGGACGGTAACAAAGT